CGGAAGGCCCTTGAGCAAAACAACCCGCGCGGTTGCAAGGGCGAGGCCCGACCGGGCCTGGAGTGCTGCCGCAGCGGCGGCGGCGCGAGGCGCGGGCGCTTGACAGGCTGGCTCCTGGCGGCCCTGGGTCTTGAGTCAGCCGTGCAGGACCCGCGGTGGGGAGCGCACCGCCGCGCACCTCTGCAAGCGCGGAGCCATGCGCCCGGCGGGGAGCGCGGGCCGGGAGCTGGACGACGGTGGGCACGTCGAGCTTGAGCCTGGTAGCGCTGGGCGCCGTCGTCCGCCCGGTCGTTCCTCTCCCCTGGCCCGGAGGGGGAGGAAGGGAAGGGGGGAGAGGGAAGGGGCGGGGAGGGGTGGCGGAGCAGCCTGCCCTCCGACCTCGCCGCGCCGCCACGGCGACAACCGCCCCGCAGCCCCCTGGAGCGGGGAGGAGGAGGAGGGAGAGGAGGAGGAGGAGGAGGAGGAGAGGAGGAGGAGGAGGAGGGAAGGAGGAGGAGGAGGAGGCGGAGGAGGTGAGGAGGAGGAGGAGGAGGAGGAGGAGGAGGGAGGAGGAGGAGGGGGAGGAGGAGGAGGAGGAGGCGGATGATGATGATGATGATGATGATGATGATGATGATGATGATGCTGATGATGATGATGAGGATGATGATGACGATGACGATGACGATTGACGATGACGATGACGATGACGATGAGGAGGAGGAGGAGGGAGGCGGAGGAGGGAGGAGGAGGAGGAGGAGGAGGAGGAGGAGGAGGGAGGATAGGAGGAAGGAGGAGGGAGGAGGAGGAGGAGGAGGCGGGATGATGATGATGATGATGATGATGATGATGATGATGATGATGATGATGATGATGATGATGATGATGATGATGACGATGACGATGACGATGACGATGACGATGACGATGATGATGATGAGAGGAGGAGGAGGCGGAGGAGGAGGAGGAGGAGGAGCAGGAGCAGGAGTAGGAACGAGGAGGACAGCAGCAGCAACCAGCGGCAACCAGCGGTGCCAGCGGCAGCAGCGGCCCCTCGTTGTTCAGCCGCGGAGAACCCTCGTGTGTTAGCGGGACAGATCGACGCCCAAGGTTGGCGCGACCTGCAAAACGGAGGCCCCGAGGGCGGTGAGAGCACTTTCACCATCCTCCCGCGACGCCGTTGGCCGCCTTGGTGGGCTCGTGAGGGCCTCTTGGGCCATCTCGGCGCGATCTTTCAGGGACCTGGAGCCGTGTGGGGTCGTTCTGGACCCGTCATGGGGAGAACGTTGAAAACCTTACAACATGCATGGTTATGACTTGCTTTTTCGCACCGTGCGGCCGTCATCGGGGTCTTCCTGGACCTTCTTGGGCCGTCCCGTGGGCCTCTTGGGCCATCCTGGGGCCACGTTGGGGGTCTCGGATCTTGGAGCTCGATTTGGTGCCCGTTGAACAGCTTTTGGGGCCCTCTTGGGCTATCTTGGGGGCCACCAGGAGCTCTATGAGGCTATCTTGGGCTTTTCTTGTGCACTCTTCTGGCCCTCTGGGGCCGTCTTGGGGCGCCTGGCGGGGCCTCCTGAACCGTCTTGGGGCGACCTGGGGTGGACCTGCAGCCGTGTGGGGCCGTCCGTGGCCTGCAATAGCGAAAACACGGAGCACCTTCGAAAGCCAGACAAAAACGAATAAAATGAATCAGTGATGTTGGTCTCAAGGGGCAAATCGTCGGGGTCCAGGCTGGGCCGTCTTCGGAGGCAGCTGGCCCGTCGGCGGGCCGTCCCGTGCTGTCATGGAGCTCCGTTCGGGCTCTCTTGGGACGTCCTCGCACCCTCTGGAACGCCTCGGAACAATAGTTGGGCTGCCTGAGGCCTGAGGGGCACTCGGGAGCCGCCCGAAAGCGGCGGAGCGCTCCGGGCGGTCGGGGGCAGCTGGCGCACTGCAGGCGCGTCTCGCACGCGCAACCACCAGAATTGTAGTACAGATGACGCTGGGCTCCAGCTTCGCCTTCCGCATCTCGCTCAGCAACGCCGAAGCCCGCTGCCACTGTTCGCAATTCGTGCACGCGCTGATCCCAGCGCTGTAGCTGATGACGTTGGGCTCCACCTTCGCCTCCTGCATCTCGCTCAGCAGTGCCAAAGCCCGCTGCCACTGCTCGCCCTTCTCGCACGCGCTGATTCCAGCGCTGTAGTTGACTAGTGTGAACCCGTGGAAAATCCACGGCCCGCAGGTCCAGGCGTTGGCGTGGAAAATCCACGGCCCGCAGGTCCAGGCGTTGGTCCCGAACGCGCACGTGTCGGAAGCGCTGGAAGCGTCAATAGCAGAAGCACGTAGGTTTTCAGACACAATCAGAGTAAGGGGGCCCGAACGATCTTACAGAATCCCTGTGCGCGAGAAGTTCGATGTGGGGGGTGGACGCGAGGGGGCCAGAGTTGGGCGTTACGTTGGGGGGCCTCGTTTGAGGGCCACGTTGGGGGGTCTCGTCAGGGGGTCATGATTGGGGGCAACGTTCGCGGCCCTGCCGGGGGCCATGTTTGGGGGCCGCGTGCGGGGTTCGGGGGCACATGTGACGGTCGCGTTTGAGGGTGCGGGGTTCGGGGGCAGATGTGACGGTCACGTTTGAGGGCAATGGTTGGGGGCTGTGTGTCTTGGGGTCACGTTTGGGGGCGCCTGGGGGCTACGCGTGGGGTTGACGTTCGGGGGCCACGCTTACTGGGGCGGTAGGGGCGACCTTCGGAGGCTTTGTGTGGGGGCCGCCTTTGGGGGTCCCGTTTGGAGGCCACGCGTGGGGCCGACGTGGAAGGGGCCACGTCCAGGGGCGATCTCAGAAAGCAGTCGGGGAGCCCCGGGGGCACTGACCTGGAAGCGTGAAAAGGAATGGGTTTTTGCGAATCGCGCTGGGACTGTGCGCGATCACCCCAAACTCAAGGCATAGTCCACGGGGCCCTCGGGGCGCGTCCCTGGGGCATTTCGAGGCCGTCGTGGGGCTCTGGCAGGATCGGTTTCGGCTCTCTTGGACGTCTTTGGAGCCGTCTTGGAGCGATGTGGGGGTCCGGGAGCCGTCGGGGAGCGCTCCAGGGGCGTCCTGGGGGCGTCGGGGAGCGGCTCAGAGCTCTGGCAGGTCGAAGCCAGCAGAACCGAGAGAGCAGCGGTGAGGCCCCCGATACAGCCAAGGGTGCGGGCGCTGGTATACGTAGGGTCCCCGAACCGGCTGTAGTGGCCAGCGGGCAATCTCGCCGAGGGCCTGGGTAATGGGTAAGAGATCTCGCGGATGTTGGTTAGGATCTCGTGGTTGGCCTCGCGGGAGCCTCTGGGAGACAGTTTGGGGGCTTCTTGGTACCAATTTGGGGGCGTCTTGGGGCCTCTTGGGCCCTCTTTTGGGGCCTCTTGGGGCGCTTGGCGGCCTCTGGGGGGCCTCTTGGAGCCTTTGTGGGGCGTCCTGGGGCCTCCTGGGGATGTCTTGGGAGCGTCCCGGCGTTTCTTTGGGGCGTCTTGGGGCTTCCTGGGGGCCTCTTGGGGTGGAGGCCTCAATTTTTCGGTTCCGGGTCCCTGTCTTGGGCCTCTCTTGGGGCCTTCTTGGGGCCCTCTTGGGCCGTCTTGGGCGACTCCTGGGCCGTCTTGGGGCCCTCTTGGGCCGTCTTGGGGCCGTCTTGAAGGCCTCTTGGGCCGTCTTGGAACGGTCTTGGGGGCCTCTTGGGCGGTCTTGGAGCGTCGGAAAGCCGAAAAAGCGAGAAGGCCAGAAACATCATAAAAACAATGAAATCAACGATTTTGGCTTCTGCGGCCCCTCTTTAGAGGCCTCCTAGATGGGGTCGAAGAATCGGGCCGCATCGCCAATGCATCGCCGATGTATCGCCGATGCATCGGCGATGCATCGACGATGCATCGGCGATGCACTGGCGACGTCGGCGATGCATCGGCGACGTCGGCGTGGGGAAAGACGGGCTCCACATCGAGCCGCATCACCGATGCATCGGCGATGCGGCGCGATCCTCCGACCCCATCTACTCGGACCCCATCGACGAGGCCTAGACTCTTGGAGGTACACTTCGAGCGCTCTGGGGGCCTCGTGGAGGCGTCTCGGGCCGTCTTGAAGGCGTCTCGAAGCCATCTTAAGCGTCTCGGATACACTCTTGGACCGTCTTGGGCCGTCTTCGGGACCTCCTGAGGCCGTCTTGGGGCGATCTGGGAATCCTGGATCAGTCCGCGAGCGGTCCGGGGGCCACCCGGGCCCGTCGGGCAGCGGCCCGGAGGCTTTCCGGGCGGCCCGCGAGCTCTCTGGGCGGCCCGGGGCGCTGCCACTGCTTGTACTTCTCGCGCGCGCTTCGCCCGGAATTGTAGTACAGATGTAGTACAGACTAGGGCTGACCCGCGGCCTTCTTCCAGCCGCGGAATCTGCCCGCCATGGCGTGGACGCGGAAGTGGAACGTTTTAGGGGCCTCGCGGGAGAAGTTGGAGGGGGCGGCGCGGATGGAGGAGGTGGCCGCTGGAAGGGGAGGTGGGCGAGGGGTGCAGTCAAGCAGGCCTGAACGCAAGAACGCAGTGGTGGAGGCGGTGTCAATGGAAACGCACCCGTGTAGGCACGACGCGGTCTGGACAGAAGCCGTTTCGCACGCCGCGCTGTGTTCATCATAGCTTCTGCGGGGCGGGTCGCCGTGATAATTTTACCTGCTCTTCGCCGGGGTCGACTGGTACTTTTGTCTGGTAATGTGGTTTGAATGGGGCCGGTGGGCGCGGGCATGTTCCTGTTCGCTCGTCTGGAGTTTCGGCGGCCTGAAGAGGCCCGCGAAAGGGCGCCGAGATGCCCCAAGAGGTCTTCAGGACGGGCCAAAAGGCCTCCAAGACGGCCCCACGGACTCCCCACGACGGGCCCCAATGCGAGGACACACATCGACCTTTCGAGCTCCCCGCCCCAAGACGTCCCCCAGAAGCCCAGAGATGGCTCCCAGAGGGTCCAAAGTCTCTCCAAGACGACGCTGAAAATTCGAACAGGCTCCCAGGAAGCCGTACAAGTGCCCTCCGTCGGGGCTCCCGAGAGCTCTCCGAGGGTATCCCAAGAAGCATTCTTGAGGAATCGGAGCCTCGACCCAGGCAGGGAGGCATGGAACAGAAGAGGGGGGATGTACATGCAACACGTAATGCGGCGCTTGCACGTGCGACGCGCACTGCGCCGCGGGGATGGCGGACGTCGCGGTCCACGACGTCGTGATGACGCGGAATGCTCGCCATCGTGACGTCCCCGTCTGCGCCCCCTCTCCGCATTGGGGCCGCTCAGGCGCACGGTGCATGGGAAGATCACCGATCGGACGCTGGAGTAACTGTCCATTTGGATCACTTGTGCTTCGCGTTAGGAGCCTTCTCGGACTGTCTGGACACTCTGGCATGCTCGGAACATCTCTGTGGCTCTATCGGTTTTTGGGACATTTTGGCCGCCCTACTCGTCCTCCCCTGGATCCTTCATCCCGTCGACCTTCGTTAGGAGCCGTCTCGGCGTGCCTGGACCCTCTTGGGGCCTCCTTCGGGTCATGCTCGGGACATCTCGGTGGCTTCTATCGGCTTTGGGGGATATTTTAGGAGTCCTCCTCCTCCTGCTCCTCCTCCTCTTCCTCCTCCTCCTCCTCCTCCTCCTCCTCCTCCTCCTCTTCCTCCTCCTCCTCCTCCTCCTCCTCCTCCTCCTCCTCCTCCTCCTCCTCCTCCTCCTCCTCCCGTCGATTCTTCATCCCGTCGATCTTCGATCGTCAGTCTTCGACGCTCCCAAGAGACAAGCATCCAAGGCCTCTTGGGGTTCGTTTGGGGGCCTCTTTCCGTCCTCCTGGGAGTCTCTCGGGGCCGTCTTGGGCTGTCTTGGGTGCCTCTTGGGCCGTCTTGGGGCGATCTGGGGCCGTCTTGGGCGCCTCTGGGGTAATCTTGGGGCCGTCTTGGGGCCATCTTGGGCCGTTATTGGCCGCTCTTGGGGTTGTCTTGGGTGCCTCTTGGGCCGTCTCGGGCGCTTCTGGAGCCGTCCTGGGGCCGTCTCGGGCTGTTTTGGGGCCCTCCGGCCGTCTTGGGGGGCCTGTACAGCCGTCTTGGAAACTGTGCAGACGGTAAAAATGGACATGAGACAAATGTCCGTTGTCCGAAGGGAATGGGATATTTTTGCCTTTTGGGGCTCTCCTGGGGGTCCTCCTGTGCCGTCTCAGGAGCCTCCTGGCCTGCCTTGGAAGCCTCTGGGGTCATCCTGGGGCTCGCTTGGGGTCCTGGCGCCCTCTTGAGTGTCTCTGAGCCGTCTTGTGGCCGTCTTGGGGCATCTTGGGACCCACCGGAGCCGTCTCGGAGCTCCCAAGAGATTCGTAGGGCGCCCCGGAGGGCCCGGGCGGCCTTTCGGGACAGAGGACCTTATCGCGTGCATAGATCGCTGCATTGTAGAACAGATGACGTTGGGCTCCAGCTCCGCTTCCCGCATCTCGTCCAGCAGCGCCAGAGCCCGCTGCCACTGCTTGCCCTTCTCGCACGCGCTAATCCCAGCGCTGTAGCTCACCAGGGCTGAGCCGTGGACTCCGTCCACGATATCTTTCTGGAATGGTTCTCGGAGGAACGGCAGAGACTTTGCCGAAAACCCATGAGCACGGCGGCGGCTGGGGCGGCGGCAGCGAGACCGCGCTTTCGTGTCCGACCTCTTGCAAAGCCCCAGCACCTTGGACCCAGCGCACGGCTCGTTCGCCCCCTCCTATTGAATGCAGTTTTGAAGTCTCTCGGGGAAGTTCGTCAAAGTCGAAGCCCATCTGAGGCGTCTCAGGAGCGCCCGGGGAAAGGCTTCGGAGGCCCTCGGGGAAAGCGACCGCGAGCGCTTGGGAGGCTCGCAAGGAGCTCCAGGGAGGGCCCAAGAGAGCTTCAAGAGGGAGTGGAATTGAATAAGATCTTAACAGAAGCCGCTGTTGGGTCAGACGTGCTCCGCTGCGTTGGGGAGGCTGTTTTGTTGGAGTTCTGTTGAAGGCGAAGCTCTCTCGGGCGTGTCAGGAGCGCCAGGACCCCTTTCTTGGAGGCAGTTTTGAAGCCTCTTTGGGCCTCTTGGGGGGTTGAGGGTCTCTCAGGTTCTCTTGTGGGCCTCTTCGGGACCTTTTGGGACCCTCTTGGGCCGTCTGGGCTCCTCTTGGGCTGTCTTGGGGCCACGTTCAGAGCTCCGCACGTCATCTGGACCCTCATAAGGCTCTCTTCTGTGCCTTCTCGGGTTTCCTCCTCCTCCTCCTGCTCCTCCGCCTCCTCCTCGTCCTCCTTGCCTCGATGCTGCATGCCCTGGGTCTTACATCGTCAATCGTAGACCCTCGGAGCATCGAAAACAGCTGTTGGGGCGTGCGTTCTGCATCTCACCTCTGTCCGCCCCCCCTCTGTTGGAAGGAATTCTGTAGCCACTTAGGGCCTCTTGGGGGCCATGTGGGGGTCTCTTGGGGCTTCTTTTCGGCTTCGCGGGGGCCTCTCGGGGCCCTCTGGGGCTCTCGTCGGTGCCGGTTTGGGCCGTCTCGTAGCCGTCTTGGGTCGTCTTGGGCGCCTCTTGGGCCGTTTGGGGGCCGTCTTGGGCGGCTCTTGGGGCTGTCTTGGGTGCCTTCTGGGCCGTCTTGGGACCGTCGTGGGCCGTCTTGGGCGCCTATTGGGCTGTGTTCGGGCCGTCTTGGGGCCTCTTTAGGGCTGTCTTGGGTGCCTCTTGGGCCGTCTTGGGCGCCTCTTGGGCCGCCCTGGGCCCGCCTCGGGGCCTTGATAGGGGGCATCTTAGGACGATCTTGGGGGGCTCTGTGGCCGTCGTGGACGCGTCGGAGGCGAAAAGCACGGTAATGCCAAACATGTGAGTTTTCCGAAAAGAATGCGGCGATTTTTGCGTCTCGGGGCTATCCTGGGGAATCCTGGGGCCGTCGGAGCGGCCCTGGGGCCGCTGGGGTGACCTCAAGAGCGGCTCGGAGCGACCTTAGGGTCGTGAGGGCGCCCTCTTGAGCGGTTCGGAGCCGTCTGTGGGCCGTCGGGGCGGCCTTGGAGCGTCTCAGAGCCGTCGTGGGGCCGTCGGGGCGCCCTCTTCAGCGGCTCGGAGCCGCTGGAAGGCACTCGGTGCAGAAACCCTTCTCGCACGCACTGTTCCCGGTATTGTAGTATAGATGACGTCGGGCTCCACTTTCACATCCCACATCTCGCTGAGGAGCGCCAGCGACAGCTGCCACTGCTCGCCCTTCGCGCACGCGCTGATCCCAGCGCTGTAGCTGACTAGGGCTGACCCGTAGACTCAGTCCACGGCATCTACCTGGAATGGTTCTCGGAGGAGCGGCGGAGATTTTGCCGAAAACCTATAAGCACGGCGGCGGCCGGGGCGGAGGCAGCGAGACTGCGCCTTCGTGTCCGAGCTCTAACAGCGCTCCAGCAGCTTGGCCGTCGCGGGGTCGCCGTCGTCGCCGTCATCGTCTGCGTCGTTGTCGGCGCCGCCGCGAGGCCGCGGTCGTACCCGTCGTAGTCGGCGTCGTTGTCGTGGTGGTGGTGGTGGTTGTCGTCGTGGGTTGTCGGCACTGGAAGGAAGCTGGCGACGTCGGTAGGACTGACCCGTGGACTCCGTCCACGAAATCTGCACGAACTGGCATCTGATTGTGGGGCCCGACCTCACATTCCGTGCATGCTGCTGCGTGCTGCTGCTTGCTGCCGCTTTTGTATACTCTTGGTAGTGCTTGAGGCCGCTGCTGCGTGTTCTCGCTGCCTGTGGCTGCAGGTTGTTGCTGATGACCAGTTCCGCTTGGTGCGTGCTTCTACCCGCTGCCTGCCGCTGCTTGCTGCTGTTGTGTGCCGCCGCTGCTGCTGTCGGCTTCGTGCCCACGGGACAGATCGATGCTGCCCCAGGGCACTCGAAATGCCGCACGGTGGACTGTGTATGGGGGCTCACTGTGGATACGCAGGGAGCCACGTCCTTCTGGGCGCCGTCTTCGCGCCCCTCTGGGATCAGACCGTGTTGGTGACTGCGCTCCCTATCTCGCTTCACTTAGGCGGCAGCGGTGAAGGGCGCCCTGGAGCTGGGAAGCAACAGCAGCGGGAAGTAGCGCCCATGTTGCTGTTCAATATTCGGCGCTCTTTCGCTCTCGCCCTCACCCACGGAGGAAGGCAACGCTCCCTATGCGGCCACTGATGGCGGGCGCTTCCTTCTCCTTGGGAACCGGTTGGGGGCCTGTCGGGGTTTCTTTTCGGCCTCCTGGGCTTTGGGGCCCCCTTGGACAGCTCCTGGGGGCTTCTTGGGGCCCTCTAGGGTCGTCTTGGGTGCCCCTTGGGCCGTCTTGGGGCCGTCTGAGGCCGTCATGGACGCCTCTGGGGCCAGCTTGGAGCTGTCTTGGGGCCGTCTTGGGCCGTCTTGGGCCGTTCTTGGGGCTGCCTTGGGTGACTCTTGGGCCGTCGTGGGCGCCTCAGGAGCGGTCCTAAGGCCGTCCTGGGGCCGTCTTGGTCCGTCTTGGGGCCCTCATAGGGCGCTCCTGGGGCGTCCTGGGGCGATCTTGGGGGCTTGCATTGTCCTCGTGGGCACTTTGAAAACGAAAAGCACGGAAATTGCGAAAGTGTACGTTATCCTTAAGGATTGGGACGATTTTTGCTTGTGCAGGCTCTCTTGGGGCTCGTCTTGGAGCCCACTTGGAGCGCCTTGGGGGGCCTCTTGGGCTGCGTGAGGGTGTCTTGGGCGTCTTGGAGTGCTCTTGAACCTTCTCAGAGGCCCTCTTGGGCCATCTTGGGGCCCTCGTGGGGGCCTCTGGGGGCGTCTCGGAGCGCTCCTGGACCATCTTGGAGCGTCGCGGAGCGCGCCGGGGCCTGCCGGGGCTCGCATGGGGCGCCTGCTACGCCATTTTGGTCTGAATCGTACTTTTCGCACGCGCGGGGCCCTGCAATGTGGTAGAGATGACGTCGGGCTCCAGCTTCACCTCACACATCTCGCTCAGCAGCGCCAGCGCGCGCTGCCACTGCTCGCCCTTCTCGCACGCGCTGGTCCCAGCATTGTAGGAGAGACTAGGGCTGACCCGTGGCCCACGGCCACGACAAGTTCCATGAAATTGCTTGGGACGCCAATCGCCAATCGTGGACGCTATGAAGACACTCCCCAGAAGGCGAGCATCCCAGGCCCTCGGAGCGTCCAAAGCGGCTCTTCTGGGCCTGCGATCTGTTTCTCGCCTCTCGTCCGACCCCCTCTCACGGAGGCAAGTTCTAAGCCACTTAGGGCATCATGGGGACAGGCTGTTTGGGGCCTGCGATATGCCTCTCGCCTGTCGCCCGCACCCCTCTCTCTTGGAGGCAATTTTGAAGCCACTTGGGGCCTCTTGGGGGCCGTTTGGGGGACTCTTGGGGCTTCTTTTCGGCTTCCTGGTGGCCTCTTGGGGCCCTCTTGGGCCGTGTTGTGTGCCTTTTGGGCAGTCTTGGGGCCGTCCTGGGCTGTCTTGGGCGCCTCTTGGGCCGTCTTGGGGCCTTGTTGGACCGTCTTGTGCAGCTCTTGGGGCTGTCTTGGGTGCCTCTTGGGTCGTCTTGGGCGCCTCTTGAACCGTCCTGGGGCTGTCTTGGATCGTCTTGGGGCCCTCACTGGGGCATCTTGGGGCGATCTTGGGGGCCGGTTCTGGCCGTTGTGGACGCGTCGGAGACGAGAAGCACAACAATGCCTTATTTTTGGGGGGCTTTACGAAGAGAATGTGGTGATTTTTGCCTCTTGGGGCTCTCCTGGGGAGTCCTCCAGGGTCGTCTTTGGAACCTCCTGGCCTGCCTTGGGGGCCTCTGGGACCGTCGGGGCGGTCTCTTGAGCGGGTCGAAGCCGTCTTGGGGCCGCCGGGGTGGCCTCTTGAGCGGGTCGGAGGCGTCTTGGGGCCGTCGGGGCGCCCTCTTGAGTGTCTGGGGCTCCGTCGCGAGCGGCTCGCGGCCGTCGGGGACTCCATTGATGCAGAAACCCTTCTTGCACGCAGCGCTTCCCGGCATTGACCCGTGGACTCCGTCCACGACATCTTTCTGGAATTGTTCTCAGCGGAACGGCGGAGATTTTGCCGAAAACCTTTCTGCACGGCGGCGGCCGGGGCGGTGGCAGCGAGGCCGTGTCTGAGTGACCGAGCTCTTGCAGCGCTCCAGCAGCTTGGCCCTGGCGCTCTGTTCGTTCGCCCCCCTCCTATTGGGGGCAGTTTCGAAGTCTCTCGGGGATGTGCGTCAAAGTCGAATCCCATCTGAGGGTCTCAGGAGCGCCCGGGGAAGGGCTCGGGAGGCCCTCGGGAGGCCCTCGGGGACAGCCGCTGGGAGCGCCCGGGAGGCTCGCAAGGAGCTCCAGGGAGGGCCCAAGAGAGCTTCAAGAGGGTGTGGAAGTGAATAAGATCTTGACGGGAACCGCTGTTGGGTCGGACTTGCTCCGCTGCGTTGGGGAGGCCGTTTTGTTGGAGTTCTGTTGAAGGCGAAGCTCTCTCGGGCGTGTCAGGAGCGCCGGGCCCCCTCTCTTGGAGGCAGTTTTGAAGCCTCTTTGGGCCTCTTGGGGGGTTGAGGGTCTCTCAGGTTCTCTTGTGGGCCTCTTCGGGACCTTTTGGGAACCTTTTGGGCCGTCTGGGCTCCTCTTGGGCGGTTTTGGGGCCACGTTCAGAGCTCCGTACGTCATCTGGACCATTATGAGGCTTTCTTCTGGGCCTTCTCCGGTTTCCTCCTCCTCCTTTTCCTCCTCCTCCTCCTCCTGCTCCTCCTGCTCCTCCTGCTCCTCCGCCTCCTCCTTCTCATCCTCCTCCTATTTCTCCTGTTCCTCCTATTTCTCCTGTTCCTCCGCCTCCGCCTCCTCCTCTTCCTCCTCCTCCTCCGCCTTCTTGCCTCGATCCTGCATGCCCTGGATCTTGGATCGTCATCGTGCACTCTCGGAGCGTCGAAAACGGCTGTTGGGGCGTGCGTTTTGCCTCTCACCTCTCGTCCGCCCCCCTCTGTTGGAGGGAATTCTGCAACCACTTAGGGCCTCTTGGGGCCGTGTGTGGGGGCTGTCTGTTGGGGCTTCTTTTCGGCTTCGAGGCGGCCTCTTGGGGCCCTCGGGGGCTCTCGTTGGTGCCATTCGGGCTGTCTTGGAACCGTCCTGGGTCGTCTTGGGTGCGTCTTGGGCGCCTCTTGGGCCGTCTGGGGGCCGTCATGGACCGTCTCGGGCGGCTCTCGGGGCTGTCTTAGGTGTCTTCTGGGCCGTCTTGGGGGCCGTCGTGGGCGCCTAGTGTGCCGTAGTCGGGCCGTCTGGGGCCGTCTTTGGGGCTGTCTTGGGTGCCTCTTGGGCCGTCTTGAGCGCCTCATGGGCCGCCCTGGGCCCGTCTTGGGGCCCTGATGGGGGTATCTTAAGACGATCTTGGGAGGCTGCCGTCTTCGGAGGCTCCTGGCCTGCCATGAGGGCCCTTGGGGCCGTCGGAGCGGCCTCTTGAGCGGCTCGGAGCGCCCCTAGGGCCGTCGGGGTGGCCTCTGGAGCGGCTCGGAGCCGTCTAGGGGTCGCGGGGGAGCCCTCTTGAACGGTTCGGGGCCTTCTGTGGGCCGTCGAGGCGGCCTCTGGAGCGTCTCAGAGCCGTCGTGGCGCCGTCGGGGCGCCCTCTTCAGCGGCTCGGAGCCGCCGGAGAGCACTGGGCGCAGAAACCCTTCTCACACGCACTGTTCCTGGTATTGTAGTATAGTACAGGCTAAGGCTGACCCGTGGACTACTGTCCACGAGTGCCAGTGGTCAGAGTGACCGTGTTGCTGCTCGTTGCTTCAGGGTGCGCTGTTTGCTTGATGATTCGGACTGCGACCAGAGCAGCGCTAGCAGCATCAGCGGCACCAGATCCAGGGGCATGGGCAGTAGCAACAGCAGCAGCAGCTCCTCCTCTTCCTCCTCCTCCTCCTCCTCCGCCGCCTTTTCTTCCTCCTCCGCCCTTTCTTCCTTCTCGTGCTTGGCAACGTCCTCGTCCTTCGCCTCCTGCTCCTCCTCCACCTCCTCCTCCTCCTCGTCGTGCTTGGCCTGTCATCGTCCTTCGGCTCCTGCCAGTTCCTGCTGCTGCTCCTCCTCCTCCTCCTCCTCCTCCTCCTCCCTCCTCCTCCTCCTCCTCCTCCTCCTCCTCCTCCTCCTCCTCCTCCTCCTCCTCCTCCTCCTCCTCCTACTCCTCCTACTCCTCCCTCCCTCCCTCCCTCCCTCCCTCCTCCCTCCCTCCCTCCCTCCCTCCCTCCCTCCCTCTCTCCTCCCTCCCCCTCCCTCCTCCCTCCTCCTCCTCCCTCCTCCTCCTCCCTCCTCCCTCCTCCCTCCTCCTCCCTCCTCCTCCTCCTCCTCCCTCCTCCCTCCTCCCTCCTCCCTCCTCCTCCTCCTCCTCCTCCTCCTCCTCCTCCTCCTCCTCCTCCTCCTCCTCCTCCTCCTCCTCCTCCTCCTCCTCCTCTTCCTCCTCCCCCTCCCCCTCCAGGAAATCGTGCGAGTCCGACTCCGCGGGCAGGAGCACCCGAGACGGAGGAGAGCGACGACGTGGAGGCGAAGGAGGCCCAAAATGATGTGAAAGAGCCACACCCCACACCTCTTGGGACACGCTCGGCGCGGGAAGGTTCGCAGAAAATATGTTCTTGGATGGCCGCAGCTGTATCTGATTGCTATTTTCTGCAACCCGTCCCGCACGAGAGGTGTCCCAAGAGGTGTGGGGTATGGTTTTTCTAATGAGCTGGAGCTTTGTAGGAACCTATCGGAGCAATTCGGTGGGAGCTGCTGGAGGCCGTCAGGGAGCCCGTGGGGTATCACTTGTTCTATTGAACTGGGGCCTTGTAGGAGTAGGAGCATGTCAGAGCCGTTTCAAGGGAGCAGCTGGAAGCTTTCTGGGAGACTCTGGGAAGTGTCCTGGAGGCCGTCTTGGAGCTCTTCGTGGGGGCTTGCTGGCCGTGGGGGGGGGCGGGTTGGGGGGAGAGCGCTTCAGAGTTGGCCCTGGTGGGCTTCCATTGGGGCTGTCTTGGAAAGCTGTTCGGCTGTCTTGGGCGTCTCCAGAGCCGTCTTCAGGGCCTCTGGGGCCGTCGTGGGGGCTCTCTTGGGAGCTCCCTGGGTGGGTTGGGCGTTTTTTGGCCGCAGAAGCGATCGTAAGAGGAAGCGAGAGGCGCCGCCGCCGCGGACCCATTGCGTCCTTCTGGCACGCGCTGAGCCCAGCATTGTAATGTATGTAGTCCAGGGCCCTCGAGACGTGCGAGACGACTCCTTCGGGCGTGCGAGGGGCCTCTCGCCTCTCGTCCGCTGTCCGTGTCTTGAGAGCAGCTCTGAAGCCTCTTCTGGGGGCCTCCTGAAGCCGCTCGGGGGCCTCTTGGGGGCCTTTTCGGCTTCCTGTGGGCCTCTGGGGCGCCTTGGGCGCCTCATGCGTGGGCCGTCTTGGGGCCACTCTGGGCTGCTCTTCGGGCCCCCAGGGGGGTCCTTTTGGGTCGTCTTGGGTACCTTCTGGGCCGTCTTGGAGCCGTCCTGGGTTGTCATGAGGCCCTCTGAGGAGCCCTCGGGGCCGTCTGCGGGCAAGCTTAGAGGGTAGTAGGGCCATCGTGGGCGTTGCGGAAACGAGAAGCGCGAGAATGTTAAACGTGTGCGTTTTCCGAACGGTCTGGGACGACTTTTGCTTCTTGGGGCCCGTTCGGAAGTCTTCTTCGAAGCCCCTGGGGGCGTCTTGGCGGCCTGTTGGGCAGCCTTGGGGACCTCCCGAGCGTCTGGAAGCCGTCTTGGGGCCATCTGAAGCCTTCTCGGGGCCACCGCAAGCCGTCTCGGGGACACCCTGCGGCCCTCGGGAGGCGTTTCCCGGGGCCGCCCGGGGCCGCCCGGGAGCGCGCCTGAGCCGGCCGGCACGATTTGGGGTCATTGGATCCCCCACCCTTCCCGCATGCGGCGCCACTGGCGCTGTAATGTAGATGACGTTCGGCTCCAGCTTCGCCTCCCGCATCTCGCTCAGCAGCGCCAGAGCCCGCTGCCACTGCTCGCCCTTCGCGCAGGCGCTGATCCCAGCGCTGTAGCTGACTAGGGCTGACCCGTGGACTCCGTCCACGACATCTTTCTGGAATGGTTCTCGGAGGAACGGCGCAGATTGTACCGAAAATCTACAAACACGGCGGCGGCTCGGGCGGCGGCAGCGAGACCGCGCCTTCGTGTCCGAGCTCTTGCAGCGCTGCAGCAGCTTGGCCCAGCGCACTGCTCGTTCACCCCCCTCCTATTGAGGACAGTTTCGAAGTCTCTCGGGGATGTGCGTCGAAGTCGAAGCCCATCTGAGGCGTCTCAGGAGCGCTCGGGGAAGGGCTCGGGAGGCCATCGGGGAAAGCCACCGAAAGCGCCGGGGAGGCTCGCAAGGATCTACAGGGAGGGCCCAAGAGAGCTTCAAGAAAATTTGAAATCCAGTGAACTCTTAAGAGAAACCGCTGTTGGGTCGGCCATCACCTCCGGGCGCGCCTTGATGGTGCGATCCAGTCGCATCACCGCCAACGGGAGGGTTTGTTCGCCATGTCCCATTCTGTTCGCCCAGAGGGTCTGTGGAGGCCTTCGGGCGAACAGAACGGGACAGGGCAAGGAATGGGGAAGACATGTCCGAATCTCCTGGGCCCCCCAGATGCTCGTCCGAAGAATGCGGAGAGGTCCCAGGGTCATATCAATTGGCTGCTGTCCCAGGGGTCCGGTCTGCTTGGCCCGAAGAGTTTGCCAAGGCCCCTGGGGGAACAGAATGGCACAGCATATCGGGCAAAGGGGGGCGGTAGCTGGCCTGTCAGACCCGGCGTTCGTCTTCTGCCCAAGCGGCGCGGGGCCCACGGGCCCCAGGGTTGGCGTCCCGCTGGGATTCCTCTTGTTCGCCCACAGGGTTGGAGGAGGCCTCCAGGCGAACAGAATGGGGCAGGACAATGAATGTGGGAGACTTGTCGCAAGCTCCCAGCCCCCCCAAGTGTGCGCCCGAAGGGTGTGGGGCCGCGTTGGCTCCCTCAAAGGGCCGTCTTGGAGCCGTCTAGGCCCGTCTTGAGGGCGCCGTTTGCCCTGATGGGGCCGTCTTGGTTCGTCGTGGGCCCCTCATGGGCGCGTCCGTAGGCCGTCCTGGGCCCATCGGGGTCCTCGTGGGGCTGTCTTGGAGCCGTCTGGGACCGTGAGGAGGCCGCCTTGGAGTCGTCTTGGGCCCCTCCTGTGCGCCTCCTTGGGCCGTCCTGGGCCCAGCAGGGGCCGTGTTGGCACCCTCTTGGGGCTGTCTTGGAGCCGTCTTGAGCCGTCGCAGCGCGCCTTGGGTTGTGCTGGGTCCGTCTTGGCCCGTCTTGGGGCCTTCCTGGGCGGTTCCTCGGACCCTCCTGGGACTTTCTGGGGCCTCTTGGTGCATCGGACCGCCGAAACGGCGGGAAACGCAAAGGGTGTAACAGTAAACAATGGAAAATTAACGATTTTTGCCAGCTGGGACTCTCTTGCCATCTTGGCCCGTCTTGAGGCCCCGAACGGGCGCGTCCTTGGGCCGTCCTGGGCGCACCCTCCTGGGACCGTCTTGGAATCGTCTTGGGCCGTCTTGAGCGCGCCTTGGGCCGTCCTGGGCCGGTCTGGGGCCGTGTTGGCACCCTCGCGGCGAGGAAGCTCGGAGGCGGGCTCGAGGCCTCTTCGGGGCCATTTTGGAAGCTGTTGGGGCCTCTGTAGGGGCCTCGTTTGGGCTCCTTGGGAGCCTCCTGGGGCCTCTTCGGGGGATTCTTGGCGGCCCCTTGGGGCCTCTTGGGGGCCTGTTTGGGCCTCCTGGCGCCCTCTTGGGGCGGAAGGCTCGGATTTTCGGTCCGTGGTCCCCCTCTTGGCCCCCTCTTGGGCCTGTCTTCGGGCCCTCGTGGGCCGTCTTGAGCGTCTCTTGGGTCGTCTTGGGGCCCTCTTGGGCTGTCTTGGGGCGCTCTTGGAAACCTCTTGGGCCGTTCTGGGGCGCTCTTGGAGGCCTCTTGGGCCGTCTTCGAGCGTCGGAAAGCGGAAAAGGCGAGAAGGCCAAAATCCTTCCAAAACCGTCGTAAAGCGGACGATTTTGAGGCCCAAAACCGTCCAAAACCTCCTGAGGCGGTCCCCTCGTCCGCCCCCCTCGCTTCGAAGCAGTTTTTAAGCCCCGTGGCACCTCTTGGGGATCTCTTTTGGGCTCCTGGGGGCCTCTTGGGCCTCCACTGGATTCGCTGCCCTCGGTCGGCAATCGTCGATCCTACGACGACTCTCCCCAACGGAGAAACATCGAAGGCCCTCGGAGCGTCCAACATTGTTCTTTTGTGCCTTCGATATGCCGGTCGCCTCTCGTCCGCTCCCCCCCTCCTGGAAGCAATTCTGAGGCCACTTAGGGCTTCGTGGGGGCCGTTTCGGGATCTCTTGGGGCGTTTTTGCCTGCGATATGCCTGTCGCCTCTCGTCCGCTCCTCCGCTCTGGAGGGAATTCTGAAGGCACTGAAGGCTTCGTGGGGGCCGTTTCGGAGCCTCTTCGGCTTTCTTTTGGGCCTTCCGGGGGGGCTCTTAGGGCCCTCTCGGGCCGTCTTGGGTGCCTCTTGGGCCGTCTTGGGGCCGTCTGAGACCCGCCTCGGCGCCTCTTGGGCTGTCTTGGGCCGTCTTGGGCCGCTCCTGGGGCCGTCTTGGGTGCCTCTTGGGCCGTCTTGGGCGCCTCCTGGGCCGTCCTGGGGCCGTCCTGGGGCGTCTTGGGACCGTCTGGGGGCCCTCCTGGCCCGTCTTGGGGCTCTCTTGGGGTCCTCTTCGGCCGTCTTGGAGCGGTCGGGGGGACTTCTTGGGCCGTCTTGGAGCGTCGGGAAGCCGAAGAGGCGAGGAGGCCGAAAACATCGAAAAACACAGTAGAAATCTACGATTTCTGTCGCTCGGGGCCCTCTTGGGAGGCCTCTTCCTCTTCGGGCGTCTTGGACGCCTCTTGGGCCGCCTGGGGCGAATCTCGGGCGTCTTGGGCCCATCTTTAAGCGTGCCGGGGCTCTCCGGGGCCGTCTTGGGGGCTTCTGGGGGCCCTCCCGACATGTCCTGGAGCCTGCCTGGGCGGCCCGGGGCGGCCCGGTGCCAGCCCGGGGCGGTTTTGAGACATTGGAGCCTGCGCCCTTCTGGCACGCACTGGGCCCTGCAATGTAGTAGAGACTAGGGCTGACCCGTGGACTACGTCCACTTGCGGGGTGAAGGGGTGCTGCCGCAAGGCGATCAGGATGAATGGCGTCATGTTCGCCTGCCACACATCGCTGAGCGAAGAGACGGAGGAGCGTCTGGACGCTCCACCTGGGGCGCTCAAGGGCTCACTTGGGATCGGGTCGGGCTTTGTCCGTGCGTTGGGTCCGACCTTCTCGGGGCGTTCTGGGGCCGTCTGGGGGCCCTCTGAGGGGCCCCAAAATCACAAACACGCCTCCAAGATAGCCCCATAATGGCCGCCCGCACAGAATCGGCGGGACCGATTCTGGGCCACCGCGACGCCGGCCCAGAATCCCACCCGATGCGCCCTGGGCGGCCGAGCGCGCTTCCGGGGCTGGCCGAGGCGATTCTGGGCCACCAGAAGAGCGAAACACAGCATGGCCCTAAGAGGCCGCGGAGAGGGCTCCAGACCGACGAAAAGGGCGGGGGATTTGGGGGCCCAATCCGGCAGGGAGCGCCAAACAAGCATCAGAGCCCCATGGTGCGCTGGGAGCGGACGCAGTGCCCAGCCCCTGGTGGGGCCTTCCCAGGCCTCTCTCGGGCTCTCTTCGAAGCGTCGAAGATCTTCTTGGGCTCCTTTGGGAAGGTCCTCCCGGCTTGAAGGCCGTCTTGGTAGGGGCCTCGAGGGCGCCAAGGCGGAACCAAAAAGAGCTTCGTGGTGTTCGTTTTGAGGGGCGCTCAAAACGAACAGAGCGCGGCCTCTCGCGGGGCCGTCCTACGCCTCTCTCGGGGCTCTCGTCGAAGTTCCTGAGATCTTCTTGGGCTCCTTTGGGGGGCTCCTCGCGGCTTCAAGGCCGTCTCGGTAGGGGCCTCTGGGGCGCCAGGACGGAACCAAAAAGAGCTTCGTGGTATTCGTGTTTAGGGGCGCTCAAAACAAACAGAGCGCGGCCTCGCGCGGGGTCTTCCTAGGCGTCTCTCGGGGCTCTCTTCAAAGTTCCTGAGATGTTGTTGGGATCCTTTGGGAAGCTCCTCGCGGTTTCAAGGCCGTCTCGGGAGGGGCCTCGAGGGCGCCAGGACGGAACCAAAAAGAGCTTCCACGTGTTCGTTTTGAGGGGCACTCAAAACGAACAGTACACAGCCCCTAGTGGGGCCGCAAAGAACGCGAGGGCGCGGGGAAAAGCACGCACCGGGAGCTCGCAGGGAACCTCGTCAGCAGGAACGTCGAAGTGGCTGGTTTTCCCGAGAAAATATGTTTTTTTCCCTCCTCAGGCGCTCCTGCCGGCGCGTGTTAGACCACTCTGGGGCCATTTTGGGCGCGCGGGGAGGCTGCTGAGCTTGCAGGGCGCCTCTGGAAGCATCTCGGAGCGCCCGAAGAAATCCCAAGAGAGCCCGGAGGAGGCCGCGGAGGGCCGGAAGAGGGCCCCGAGGCGCCAGAAGGGCCGGACAGGGGGCCCGAGGCAACCGAAAAGAACGCGAGGGCGCGGGAGAAGCACGCACCGGGAGCTGGCAGGGAACCTCGTCAGCAGGAACTTGAAAGTGCCTCGTTTTCCAGAGAAAATGTGTTTTTTTCCCTCCTCAGACGCTCCTGCCGGCGCGTGTTGGAGTGTCTTGGGCCATCGTGGGCGCGCGGGGGAGGCTGCTGAGCTTCCAGGGCGCCTCCGGGGAGGCATCTCGGAGCGTCTCGGAGCGGCCTGGGGCAGCCTCGGAGCCGCGCTGGAGTCGACCAAAGCTTGCTGGGGCGCCCGGGGAGGGCTCCGGGGGGGCCGGCCCGCGGCCACTGCGTTACAATTTGGCGAGCGGTGAACGCTGCATTGTAGTAGAGATGACGTCGGGCTCCAACTTCACATCCAACATCTCGCTCAGCAGCACCAGCGCCGGCTGCCACTGCTCACCCTTCTCGCACGCGCTGATCCCAGCATTGCAGCTGATGACGCTGGGCTCCAGCTTCACTTCCCACATCTCACTGAGCACTGACAGCGCGTGTTGCCATTGCCCGCATTTTCTGCATGCGCTGACTGTTGCGACGTAGTGGTTTGGGACGAGTTGCACACCTAATCGAATTCCTTCGCGGAGCAACTGTAGTGCTGCGCTCCATTGTTTTGTCCGACCGCGATTCTTGATCGACGCTTCGAGGGACATAGCGCCTTCTCGAGACCCTCGACGGATGTCCCGCATCCGAAAAGACAAGGCATCGCGGCGTGAGCCAAAAATACCTTGGGTCAAGCTCGAGCCAAAGTGGCTTGAGTCAAACATATATATATATATATATATGTATTCAAAGGCACCTGGTTCCAGCAGCATGGCCTTTTGGATTACAAGCCAACTTGGAAACCCACATATAGGAGTCTCGCAATCTTGAAATTCTGCTCACCCTTTGTCTGTGCACATGGCGTGGCCGCAAACCGAGCTTGCGAGGCTAGACAGACACGCTTCGAGCGCGGCCAGCAGCACTGAAGCCTGCGGCGTGTTCCTCGACAGGTTTGTCAACATCGGATTCCCGAAAGTGCACGTCAACCATCTCAGCGCGTGGTCGCTAAAACCCGACAGTGAGCGCCGGCCCTCACAGACATGGGGCTGGAAGATGTGAGTGCGGTGTCCCTTTGACCCCGTGTGGGCCCGCGTGGGGATTTCAAGACGGTTCCAAGATTTTTTCGCAATCCCCTGGCACAATACAACGTGCAGGAGATTTCCCGGCAAGGTTTCAAGAGTTCGTCCAGCATGGGTAGCATCGTCCCCTCCTCTTGTGTCCTGGTTGTGCAGCGTGCAGCATGATAACGGAGGTTGGCTGGGTGCGGCGGAGGCTGTACCTATTCATCTGCAATGACCAGCAAGTGAAGATGCGAATCAACCGAGTGTCGCATCATAAGTTCTGGGCAATTCCACGTGGCACGGGAAAGATGAGAATACAGCCTTTTCCTAGCTTGAGCTCTTGGCTTTCAGAGCCCCCTCATGCCCAGCAGTAGGCATTTTGGATCTGGGTGGCGCTCACCGCGCCTCGGGCCCAGCAGTTTGGCACGGCGACCTCACTGATGCTCTCCAGTAGTTCTGGAGGGACCCGAGTCCAGAGGAAAACATCTCGTTTGATTTCTTTGGGTACTTTCTGAGAGCTACGCTTGGTTGGTTGGTCCGTCGGCGGGTCGCCCAGCCGCCCGTCCGTGCGCCCGCCCAGTCGCCCTTCCGCGCGCGCGCGCCCGCCCGCCCGCACGATCTCCCGCGCGTCCGCGGGCCCGCGCGCCCCGACGCCCGCCCGCTCGCCCGCAGTACCGCCCGCACGCGCGCGCGTGCCCGCCCGACACGAAGACGACGGCGACGACGACGCCGCCGACGAAAACGACGACGACGAAGACGAGAACGACGACATCCACGAGGGCGACGACGACGACGACGACGACGACGACGACGACGACGGGGGCGACGACGACGAGAGCGACGACGGCGACGAGGACAACGACACGGACGACGCCTAAGAGGGTAATAACGACGTCGACGACGACGAAGGCGACGACAGCGACCCCGACCCTAACGGGCGGGTCGGGCGGGCGGATCCTAACGGGCAGGTCGGGCGGGCGGACCCTGACGGGCGGGCCGGGCGGGCGGACCCCCACGGGCGGGCGGGACATCGAAATAGTGTGCAATCCATGCAGCAGGACATCCACGAGGGCGTCGACGACGAGGGTGACGACGGCAACGCGGACACCGACGACAATGCCGAGGCCAACGCCGACGCCGACGCCAATGTCGATGCCGACGCCGACGCCGACGTCGACGCCAGAGCCGACGCCGACGCCGATGCCGACGCCGGAGCCGACGTCGACGCCGACGCCGACGCCGATGCCGACGCCGACGCCGACGCCGACGACAGCGCCGCCGCCGACGCCGCCGCCGCCGCCGCCGACGACGACGACAACTACGAGGGCGACAACGACGACGAGGACGATGAGGGCGACGACGACCCTAACGGGCGGGTCGGGCGGGCGGACTCTAACGGGCGGGTCGAGCGGATCGGGCGGGCGGACCCTATTGGGTCGATCGTGCGGGCGGACCCTCATAGGCGGGTCTAGCGCCCGTCCCACGGCAACTCACGTATCCATAGTGCTGTGCACATCGAGTGGCGGAGGTTGGGCCCGTATCCTGCGTTTCTGCAGGAAAACAGCCTGCGAGCTTCAGAGTGCGAGCACTAGCAGCTTGCCTGTGAGTACAGGGAGAGGTTTGAACACGCCGGTGCATAGTGGAGCGACAGAGGACCATCCCGCATTCTATACGCGTCGCGTAGAAGCAGCCGCTCACGACGCCCTGCATGAAACGGTGCCGGTGAGCACCGCCGTGTCTGCGAGCAACGCGCAGCGAATGAGCATTACGGTATTCACGCACCTGCCACCTCCCTCCCTGTTCCGCACTCGGCCCGTCCCTCCCACCCCGCCAGCGTTGAGCGGCAGGAAGTGAAACTCGCACGGGCGGAGCTCGCACGGGCGGAACTCACATGGCACGGAACTCGCACCGACTGAGGGCTCACGGACGGAGCTCGCACGGACGGAACTCGAACGCGATGAAGTCGCACGGACGGAGCTCGCACGGACGGAGCTCGCACGGACGGGACGCGCACTGGCAGGACTCGCACGGACTTAACTCGCACCAGTGGAAGTCGCACGCAGAGAAGCTCCAGAACGCGCGCAAACTCACGAGTGCGAGTTCCGTCCGTGCGAGTTCCGCGCGTGCGGGCTCCGTCTGGACGAGTTCCGCCGCTTGCGAGTTCCGTCTGTGCGAGTCCCGCTCCGTGAATTTGCTGCGTGCGAGCTCCGCGTCGTGCGAATTCCGCGTCGTGCGGAGTTCCGAGCGTGCGAGCTCCATGCGCGCGGGCTCCGTGCGCGCGAGCTCCGCGCGCGAAAGTCCCGCCGCCTCCCTTCTTGCCAGGGTTGAAAGGGCGTGTGAGTTGGTCGGCTGTCACCCCTCCCCCTTCCCCGCCCTCCCATGGGGTCCAAGATCCTGTCAGAGGGGGGGGGAGGAGGGGAGGGGAGGGGACGTGAACGCTAACGCCCCTCTGGGGCCCTCGGGGCCTCAAGCTCAACTCCGTGGCCGCCACGATGCCCGAGATGCCTGCTAAGGTGGCTCCAGAGGGGCTCCAGCACGCTGGAGAGGCCTCGAGAACGCCCACGATGTCATCAAGACAGCCCGAGGACGCCGAACGAGGTTCCCAGCAGGACCCCCCGAGGGCCTCGAGAGGTGAAGCACATTGATTTCGCAAAGATGAGTGAAAACCAGTTGTCGCGTTCTCGCCTTGTCGGACGTCTGCAGACCCAAAAGTCGGCGGCGAGCGAGGGGGGGAAGTGAGCAGGAGAAGGCCTTCTCAGAAGGTGGCGGGACTCCCCAGAAGCCTCCGCGCCTTCTGAGAAGCTTTTCCGTGCCTTCGGGGAAGGTTTAGAAAACTTCTCGGAAGGCCAGGAGACTTCCGAGCTTTCTGAGAAGACCTTCTCCTTCTCACTTCCCCCCCGGGCTCGCCGCCGAAGTGTGGGCCAAGCCAGGATCGGTTGGGTAACTCAGTCGACGCCACCCCTGCCTTTTTCGGGCCCGCCGCGCTGGTCGAGCTGCTGGAAACGTCCTTTTTCGCCGCCCTCTTCCTCCTCCTCCTCCTCCTCCTCCTCCTCCTCCTCCTCCTCCTCCTCCTCCTCCCTCTTCCTCTCCCTCTCCCTCTCCCTCTCCCTCTCCCTCTCCCTCTCCTCCTCCTCCTCCTCCTCCTCCTCCTTCTCCTCCTCCTCCTCCTCCTTCTCCTCCCCTCCTCTCCTCCTTTCCTCCTCTCCTCCTCTCCTCCTCTACTCCTCCTCCTCCTCGTCGTCCTCCTCCTCCTCCTGCATCTGACATCCCCCCCTGTGGCTCGCCGCCGAAAGAAGGCGCGAGCACATCCTCAAGAGGTCCAAGGAATTGTCGGCGAGCGAGGGAGGGAAACGATCAGGAGCAGGCCCTCTCGAAGGCGGCGGGACTTCTGAGGAGCCTCCGCGCCCCCTGAGAGGCTTTCTGGGTCCTTCGGGGAAGGCTTCGAAAACTTCTCGGAAGGCTGAGGGACTGCCGAGCCTTCTGAGAAGGCCCGCCCCCTCTCACTTCCCCCCCAGGCGCGCCGTCGAGAGGAGGGGTCGAAGAGAGGCCCAAGAGGGGGCACCCGCAGGGACCCCAGGAGCTCCCTCCCACAAGATGACCCCCAAGACCCCCAACATGACCCCAAGGTGCCCACAAGAAGCCCCCAGAGGGCCTCCCAGAGCCCCTGGGAGCAGTTGAAGGACCTCCAGGAGGCTGCCCCCCCAGGCCTCCAAGAGGCCCACAAGAAGCCCCCGACGAGACACGAGGACGAACCAGCAACAACCACACGCAGGCAGCAGGGCGGGAAATGACAACCAACAAGCACGACATCGGAAACCGCACGTGTCCCCTTGGGGGGTCGGCGGCACGGCGTAAGCCACATGGAGAAACAACAGTGACGCTGTTTCTGCTTCTGCTGTTGCTTCTGCTGCTGCGCTTTGCTTGATTTCTGAGGGACTGCCCCTGCGTCGCAGTCGGCCGTTTCTCGACGGATCTCCGTCCACTCCCGCTCGGTGCTCTGTGGCTGGTGCCCTATGCTTGCTCTGTCCGTTGCTGTCGGCCGTTTCCGCTCAGTGCTTTGTGGTCGTTCCAATTCGGTGTCCTGTGCATTGGTGCCCCGGTGCAGTGGTGCCACAGAGCAAAACCCCGCCTTTATGCATGGGCTGAGATGAAGGGGCCCCAGGACACACAAATAATTACACACGAATGAAAAGATCCCCCATACTTTCCCATATTCTTTTGAGTCTTCGTCTTCCCCCCCACTTCCCATAGTTTCCCACATTTTCGGGGCAATCGACGAATAATCGTGTCTGTGTGTTTTCTCCTCTCCTGATGAGAGCATCTTCCGCCCTCGGTGGCCAGCAGCTCCGCGGAAGGCTCCGGCGCCACGTGAGCGGCCTGCTCCAGCTGCTTCAGCAGGAAGCTGGGCACCGGCTCGCACCTGGGCGTCGGTCGCGAGTGGCCCACCACGCGGATCTGAGCTTAGGTCGGGCATGTCCCCCTACAGGCCGAGTTTGGACGAAAAATAGAACATATCCACAACAAATAGGCAACAACTGCCACAAAATTGTCAAAAAATCGTTCCCAGACTATTTTTGGAGTATTTTTGGGTATTCCTCCTGTAGAGGGACACGCCCGACCTAAATCTAGGCCGCCCAACTGCTTGGCCCGCGCCCCGCGGTGCGCGACCACCTTCGCACCCCCTGCGCCGCCGCCGTGGAGTAGGACGGCCGCAATGTCATGATACGATCGGCCCAGGATACCTTCTAGGAGTTCTAAACTGAATTTCTGGCGGCCCTCGGCCATTCGCGGTGGGCCACGCGTCTCTGGCCGAGGATACCAGCAAAAACCGGAGCATCTGAGAACGTACGACTAAACATAACTTGTGCTTAGCGTGTCGCGGTGGCGGCTCCTGCGACACACTATGCCTGGCGAGTTGATCCCCGACCGTGCCTGCATGATGTGGGCGTGTTTGAATGTCAAGTGCTACTCTGTAGGGGTTTTGTATTCGAATGCAGGACCCGCTCTAGTACCAGAGTGTCGCGTGCATCCCCCCCTCACCCCCCTTCCACACTTACGCATTCTGAATACTACGCTCCTCTCTCCCCTGACCTGTGCGGAAGATCTCCTGCCCTCTCCGCGTCCTGTTTTTTCTTACACGCAGGAATTCAAGCAGTGTTTTTTTTATGCTGCCATTGCACTACGCTTGTTTTCGGTGTTTCACATGGTGCTCCCGCTGCAGCGTGGGCCTCCTCATTTTCGGATCCGCGCTTTGCTCACGTTGCTCAGAATGGCGCTCTCGTCACAGCGCTGGGCCTTTTCTGGATCCGAGCCCTTTTTCGTCGTTGTCGCCCCCCTCATTTCCCCTCCTCCACCTTCCCCTGGTCCTCCTGCTCCTCCCGCTCCTTCCACTCCGGCTCCTGCTGTTGCTGTTCGCCCTCGTCGTCCTCCTTCCTCAGCCTCCTCCTCACCCTCCTGCTCATCATCCTGCTCATCCGCCACCTCGTCCTCCAATGTAGTTGCGCAGCTCCAATTTTGCGACTGCGCATGACACGAGAGGGTCCTCATTGGAGTTCCAGGTCCGCTATGACATGCGTCGGCGGATGGATAGAAGGGATGGGTCCCCAGGGAGCGTGCAGAGGGCCCCAAGAGGCTCCCAAGATGCCCTCAAATGCCTCCCCAAAGGCCGACACACACACACACACACATACATATCCATATCCATATCCATATACATATACATATACATATACATATACATATACATATACATCTACATATACACACATACATATATATACATATATACATATATATGGCTTAGGCTTATTTGCGCTGGGGAAACTCAAGCGTCTCGGCTGGAGCGTTCCGCTGGTGCAAAAAACAAACTTAGGCACAGTGGTGAACACACCGATGTGAATTATGCGACAGGCCCATGCGGTTCAGGAAAGGCACACAGTATAGGAACAACGGAGTGCCCAGAAAAGGCTCAGGAGTAACGGTGCTGACCGCGAAGGTGCAAGGCAGAACATCGAATGACCGATACATACATCTCGCCCCCCCCCCCCCTGTGATCATACATTTCGTTTTTTTTTTCTCGTCGTCGTCGTCGTCGTCGTCCTCGTCGTCGTCGTCCTCGTCGTCGTCGTCGTCCTCCTCCTCCTCCTCCTCCTTCTCCTCATCTCCCTCCCCATCATCCCCCCTCATCCTTTCTCCTCCTTCTTCCTCCATTCTTCTCTTTTTTGTCTTCCTTCTACTCCTCCTCCTCCTCCTCCTCCTCCTCCTTCCCCTCCCTCTCCTCCTGCCCTCTCCCTCCTCCTCCTCCTCCTCCTCCTCCTCCTCCTCCCCCTGTGCCTCCTCCCTTTCCTCCTCTTCCTCCTCCTCCTCCTCCTCTTCTTTCCCATCTTCTCCATTCGCCTTGTCTTCGATACTTCCCACTTCTTTCTTTGTCAGCCCTTTCCCTCGTATGCTGCCCACTCTCCGTCCGCATCGGTGTCGTTCCTTCCCGCTGCATTTCTTTCTATGATTCTTCCCTTCTCCTTTTGATTATGTTCGTTATCCTCCCGATCCTCCCTCCTCCCTCACCCCTCGTCCCTCCTCCTCCCTCCCACCCTTCTCCGTTGCAGGGCCTCGTCATCTTCCACCCCTTCGCAAGCTTCCTTACCGCCCTCGTTCCTTCTACTCTTTATTGTCCCTCCTACTCTTCATTATCATTGTCGTTCCGTCTACTCGTTTATCGATGATCCGACTTCTCTGCATATGTTCGTCGTTCCTTCTATTCTCCATCGATCTTGGGGGTCTCCCACAAAACTCCCACAACACGAATCAATATTTGGAGGCCCCTCCACAAAAGGAATCAATATGCAAGGGCCTCCACATATTGATTCCGTCTGTGGAGGGACCTCCACATATTGATTCGTTCTGTGGCGGGCGATCTCCTTTTCCTCCTCCTCCTTCTGCTCCTCCTCCCCCTCCTTCTCTCACTCCGGCGCAGGGGTTGAGGAGAAGAAGGATCAGACGGAGTAGGAGGAGAAAGATGAGGAGGAGAAAGATTATATTGTTTTCTTTTGTGGGGGATCCTCCACATATTGATTCCTTATGTGGAAAGGACCTCCACATGTTGATTCCGTCTGTGGAGGGACCTCCACATATTGATTCCCTATGTGCAAGGGGTCTCCATATTGATTTCTTTTGTGGAGGGTCCTCCCACTTGTTGATTCCTTATGTTGGAAAGGGGTCTGCACATATTGATTCCTTATGTGGATGGGCCTTCAAATTATCGACTCCTTAAGTTGAGGGGTCTCCACATGTTGATTCCGTCTGTGGAGGGACCTCCCCCAATTGAGTTCTTTTGCGGCGGGCGATTTCCTTTTCCTCCTCCTCCTGCTCCTCCCCCTCCTCCTCCCGCTCTGGCGCAGGGGTTGAGGATAAGGAGGAGCAGAAGGAGTAGGAGGAGAAAGATGAGGAGGAGAAAGATGATATTGTTTCCTTTTGTGGCGGGGCCTCACCCATATTTTTCCTTATGTGCAAGGGGCCTCGCGCATATTGATTCCTTTTGTGGAAGGGACCTCCACATGTTGATTTCGTCTGTGGAAGGACTTCCACATAATAATTTCTTAGGTCAAAGGGGTCTCCACATGGATTTCTTATGCGGATGGGCCTTCGAATCTAGATTCGTTATGTGGAGGGGCCTCCACATATTGAGTTTGTCTGTGAAGGGACCGCCGCATATTGATTCCTTATGTGCAAGGGGTCTCCATATTGATATCTTGTGTGGAGGGGCCTCCAACATGTTGAATCCTTATGTGGGAGGGGCCTTGAGTGATGAGTTCCTTATGTGAAGGAGCCTGTACACTTTGATTCCTTATGTGGGAGGCCCTTCACATATCGACCCCTTATGTGGAGGGGCCTCCACATGGATTCCTTGTGTGGAGTAGGAGGAGAACGATGATGAGGAGGAGGAGGAAGAGTAGGAGGCGGAGGTGGCCACGGGGGAAGCGGATTTACATATCGATTCCTTTTGTGGCGGGGCGGGGTACATAGAATGGGAGGAGAGGAGAGGAGGAGGAGAAAGAAGGGAGAGAGAGAGAGAGTGTGTGTCAAGAGAGGGAGGGGAGAGACAGAGGGAGGAGGAGAGGGAGGAGGAGAGAGAGAGAGAGAGGAAGGGAGAGGAGAGGAGGAGGAGAGAGAGAGAGAGAGAGAGAGAGAGAGAGAGAGAATGAGAGAGAGAGAGAGTCAAGAGAGGGAGGAGGATAGAGAGAGAGAGAGAGTCAATCCATATATATATATATAGAGAGAGAGAGAGAGAGAGAGAGAGAGAGAGAGGGAGAAAGAGAGAGAGAGAGAGAGAGAGAGAGAGGGAGGAGAAAAAAGGATAGATAACGAGAGAAAGAGGAACGGAATTCGGCAGAAAACGGGCGGGAACGTTGAGTCAAGGAGTCGGCTAGGCAGAGGAGACGGAGGAGTTTTTTTTTGGTTTTAAATTTATTTTTTTATGATAATATATATATATATATATATATATGTATATATTATTTTTTCCTCCTCCCCGCCCTCGGAGGCGGAGTTTTTCTTTTCCTTTTTTTTCAATGTGATAACACATGTTTTTTTCCTATGATTCCTTTTTGTCCTGTTTTTCGCTCTCCCGTTCGGCCCCTCGGGGTTTCCCCGCCGCCCCAGGGGGGGCCCGAAAAAGAGGAAAACAAGAAACATAGGAAAAAACATGTGTTTTCACATGGAAAAAGAGGAACAAACTCCGCCTCCGAAGGCGGGTAGGGGAAAAAAAAGAAGCAACACCCTCCTCCGTCTCCTCCGCCTACTCCTCTCCTCCCTACTCCTCTCCCCCCCCTCTGGTATCATATCATTCGCCGTTCGCAGTCGCCTTAGGGAGAGGAAGGGGGAGAGGGGTAGGCTGAGGAGACGGAGTTTTTTTTTTTTTTTTTTTTATTTTTTCTTTTGTTTTTCTTTTCTTCTTTTCCTCCTCCCCGCCTTCGGAGGCGGAGTTTTTGTTTTTTTTTTCACTGTGAAAACACATTTTTTTCCACATTTTTGTTTCCTGTTATTCTGTCTCCCGTTCGGCCCCTCATGGTTTCCCCGCCGCCCCAGGGGGGGAGCGAAAAACAGGAAAAACAGGAAAAATAGGAAAAACGACGACGACGACGACGAAAAAAACAAAATGTATGATCACAGGGGGGGGCGACCATATATATATATATATATATGTATACATGCACACATTTTTATACCTATACATGTACATGTATGTGTATACGTGCGTACACATACATATATGTAAGCAAATATCTTCCTATGCAGATAATTCTGTCTACATAAACATTATCTCCCCTTGATGTCCCAAACACCATGTGGATTTTGGTCTTCGTTTTGAAAAGATAGCGCCCCGCGTTCCTCCTCCCGGCCTCTGCCCTCCGCACCAGTCAA